ACTCGGACAGTTTGCGGCGCGTGTTATTTCAGACTGAAAACCACCCTTTCCACATTCATACACTCTCTTTTTGTATCGTTATCTCCACACGTTCACTCTCTCAACGTTTCCCCAGAGTGATTCGGCCCGGTGGGGAGCACAGTGAGAACGAAGACCCTCCTCGTGGATTCATCAATTTTCCAGCATGTTTTCTTCTCACAACTTATTATTTTTCAGATTCCTGAAGTCTCATGTGGGAATGTAGTACCTGCTATCAGGACTGCGCCAAGAATCCGTGGTCGGTGTAAGAGCGAATTATTGGAATTCAGAAACTTCTGTGGAGTTGCCAATGTAAGGGTCCGAGGCCGTGAACGGAATCTCTATACTCCGGGTTGTCTCCACCGATTATTTTGTGTCGGTGGGATTTCGAGCTCCCCTTCTCTCATCTGCCAGGATTAATGATCCCAAAGTTACGGAAAATGTGACGTCAGACGACGACTTTGGTCAAAAACTGAATAAACGCCATCGACCGGGAGGTTTCCGTGACCCCCGCTCGACTCGAGCTCGAAACAACTCCCGTAAACTGGACGGCCCGGACTCCCTGAAGTTGGGGAAGGAAGACCAGCCGGCTCTAGTCCGCGGGAAATTCTCGCCTCATTGGCTATCCGACACTGGATCGACGACCTGTTCCGATAGAGGATCGGCACCAACGGATCACACTCGGGAGAGAGCGAACTCGGATGTCCGAAGTCAGAGAATCCTGAACCGTTGGGTCGCTCAAATCCCACAGCTTCTATGTCAGGCTGATCATTCACTTGACTTCTCTCTCGGGCCTGTTTGGAACGAACGAAGAAAAAGCTCCTCAATTTCGAACATCGCTGAGGAAGCCAATGCCATTGGCGTCGATCTGATCAAGCGGACCCCATAAAGACGTTTGACTCGTAAAGGATATAGGCGGGGGACAGAAGCCGAGACTCAGATGGAAGACAGATACTCGAGCCAAACGGTTGCCTGGCCAACAGCGGTCGCTTGAAGAGACAGACCGGAACGACAAGCAACGAATGACTTCGACCGGTGCGAGCATCTTGTCGAGCGGTCGGCTCGGAAGAACTTTCTCTCTAGAGTTCTTTCGGGGTCGTGATGAAGAAATTCCTCAACTCAGCCGCGGGGTCGAGATGAAATTTCGGCTCGTTGCCAGGGTCGAGAAACGCACGGCGAGCGCATAAAACACAATCAACTTATCGGCGATCTTTTTCTGACGCTGAATGGCCCCGGGCAACAATGAAGCACGCAACCCTTGCGTCGGACTCGACCGACACCTTTTCCGTCGAGCTGAGCAGAGAAGGATAGCGCTCGGGCGCTTGTGATAGCCGGCGTATAGTCGAAGTCTCTCTTCGCTCTCAAGTTGCCCATCGAATGTGCCCAAGTTGAGACGGTCCAAGTTTCCGTGCCGGAATATAATCTGGCAGTTCCCTGTCCGTGGAGTCTGAGTGCCGGAGCGAGATTTTGGGTCACGTCTCTGTGAACACTCCGCTCGGAATGCGGAGTCTCTGACCAGACGCCTACCACTCTCAGAGCCTTGCGAGGAATCATGGCATGACCTGCAGCTCGAAGCAGAGCGCAGAAGTAGGCTGTGGGAGTTGCACTCTGGCCGAGCATCCGATCTACCGCAGTTGCATCGCTGCTTTTGAAGCCAGGCTTCGGCAACTTCCGCCCTGGAACAAGTCTGAGTCCATGGCCGAAGAGGATTATTGTCCGTAGTGACACCAGACTCGGGAGTGAGTTTGGTTTCCGAGGGTGATTCATGTTGATCAGCATTGGCCAGACGAAGGTCGGGGAAAACGGGAACGCTTCCCGGGGGAGCATGGGGGAAGACCGGAGCTGAGTGTGAAGGATGGAACAGGAATGCAAAGAGGAGCAATTGCAGCACGCAGGCCGAAGAGCTCCTCTTCGTGCAAGGAAGATTTGAATGTACGCGTAGCATCAGGAATGGAACGCTTTGATTAGCATACCCCGCCGGACCCTCGCTTGAGCTCCATCGCGCTGGACTTCGAGGCGCCTCGTTCCGGAAAGGAGAGGAAATACGTAACTTTTTCGGATTTGAAAAGAGAGCAGGCATCCGAACTTTCGTTCGGCATTAACATAGTCAACGACTTCCGCGCGGGTTCCGGAACCGCGAAAATCGTCGTCATCGTCGCTCTCACGAGCCCTCGAAGATGGGGCTCCTTCACTGAGGAGGTTTGCGACTGATGGTAAGATATGATACGCGGTATCAGGGCGGACGAACAAATGGAATTCGGGTGTCAGTCTGACATATTCGGAGATGCAGGTATCCTCTCCTCTTCGGAGAGCCTCATCCTTCGAGGATGAATTAAATGTTCAATGCTCAATGTTGTTCCATCTGCACCTCTGACGGGAGAGCGGACATATTCCGATCATTCAGCGTTCTTCGCACGTGCTCTCGACCGCGTTCGGCTTCGAAAATTCGGGCATGGGCTGGCTGTGAAATTCGGAGAACTTGGGTCTGGAAAATTCCGAATTGAAGTATTTGTCCTTCCATCAGGTCATCTCAATCGAGCGGGGGCTACGAGAGTCTGTTTTCTCGACCCTCTTTCTCCTATAAGGAAAAATGTGGCAAATGGGAAGAGTATGATTGCCGGTTGGTGGACAGGGTTTCTTATGAGGCTGCTCCCGGCATTTTATAGACTCGGGGCCGGGGCCTGACCAAATGTCGATAGACCGATCTCCGATCCGGACCGATTGCTGGGGAGTCTCAGAGAGGATCCTCGAAACAGAAGGTCGATGACCCCGATTTCGACCCTATCGGCGAACGGGATCGCTTGCAACCTCTGATGGAAAATTACGTACAATCTGATATCATCTTCTGTCCCGAAAGCGCAATAGGTTCGACGAACGGCCTGTATACCTTCCGTGTGTCAGACGAAGACTCACAGAACTTCGGATCCGTCTCCGATGAGTCTCCCGAAGACTTTCGTGGAATGAGAATATTAGAGGCCGGATGTGAAGGGAGCCTCGGCTGATGCGTCGGGATGACGATCGAGTGACAATCAGACCCCATTCTGCGCCTTTTCGTTTCCTGCCCTGTTTCATCCTTCATGCCATCCTGGCGTCCACTTTCGCCCTTTCACATCTTCCCTCGGCTAGCCTGGTCATCTGTTCTCTCTGATGACCCAGAATCCTGACAGCGAATCAGCAGCAATCATCCAGGCTGTATTCAACGTTGACACAGCGATGGTAAGCTTTTGCGTGTGCGCTCGAGCTCTAATTACTGGACCGCACGGGCAAGAAAGCATGTTAATGATGAGCACGATATTTAATGCTGATGGTGCTCGACTGATGAACGTTAGGAGCCTGAGCGTCCTGGTCAGCGAACGAGACCATTTCCGTGGGATTCTCAGTCACTCCGTCGGAATCAAGAACCGACTCATGAAAATGAATACTAATTTGAAACATCCGACGCGATCTAATCCAGGGACTACATATCACGGTTCCGGAGAGACCCGAGGGACTAGTCATTCACAAGACGATTAAGCTCGCTAGAAGCTCGGTGACAGCGTCCTCTGCATCCCCAGATATGCTCTCAGAAGGACTGTAGGGTAAAGCTTTTCTTTCCTCAAGACTGAAGGCTGGAGCTGTTCCTGATGGAGTTCCAAAACATCGACAGCGGCAGGTGGGGCCCGCACTGCTCCACGCGAAGTCTCTGCGCAAAAGGTGCGCTGGAGGAGCGGCCCGTCGTCCGTGGAGACTTCCCCTCTGCTCCAAAATATTCCGACCAACCTCCTGACCGGCTCGAATCATACAGGTGCATCCCATTGCCTCTCTGACTATGTATACAGGCGGATATGTATACCTACCCGCCGGAGCCTCTGAAGAGCGCTCTGATTTCCTCCATCGGACTTTCGAAGAATACGTCGACATGCGTTGCTACCCGCCTGAATCACGACTGGATTCTGGTCTCGAGAGCATTAGAGCTCCAATCGTTCCGGAAGTTCGAGGAAACGCCGGCGAAATTCCCCGGGATCGAGTGAACACAAAAGATTCGCGAAATGATGCGAACGGCCTGTCTCGTAAGCTTACGACAACCTCGATGACGGCCGGACCCTGTCGAGGCATTGATTCCGTCGTGACCTCCGGGAGCGGAGAAAAGACGAAGAGTTCCACCTTCCGGAAAGTTCCCCCCGTGTTTTATTCACGGACGGCGAGCGACAGCCGTCGTCAGTCGACTCGAGTGATCCTGTGTGCTCCCCGGAACCGACGTCGAGGAATGCAACGAATGAGCTTGACAGCAAGCAAAGCGAGCAGCTACTTTGACAAGCAAAATGTTACTCGCCCGTGTGCTGCTCACTAATCTGATTTGCGCGACCCTTGGAGCGGGGACGATGGAGTCATATTATTATCGACTCCTCTGATTCCGTCGAGAACTCCGGAACTTCCCCATGGACCTGGATTCATTCTGGACTGCGGATACAGCTCATGGTTCGCGATTAGAGTGCCAACAAGATCCGTAGCTCGACGGGTTGCCACGCATTGCGCGTCGAATCGATAGACTCCGGGAGAATACTCTAGAGATAGAAACAATGTCATTGAAGAAGACCCCGGCAAAAGCTTATTGTTAGCCTCCCAGAATACCTCATGCGTCTGAAGAACAATCCTCGGAACCCATATCCGAGGGAAAATTGCATAAAGTAGGAAGTTCAGAAGAGAATATTCGAGTTCTGCTCGCGGAACAGAGCCGGAATTCGGGTCGCGGCCTCTCAGACCCACTTGGATTCGGGGCAGCTATGTGGAAAATGTTCACGATTGAAGCTTTCGCAGAGTAATTCAGGATCGAGGAATAGATACCGCGGGGAAGGGTAGCGCTCCGATCCCGCGAAGTCTCCTCGATACTTCTCGGAAGGGGGTCTCTTCGCTCGTACGTTTGTATGCACGCTTATTCCTCGAGAACACGCTGTGGGTCCGCGCAGAGCTGAGTGGCTGGCTCTATTTACTCGCACACTAACCTTTATCCGTTGCAGTAGTTGTCTCTGCACGTCCTCTCTGGGTGGAAGTCTCCGAGCATCGTCTTCGATGACTTCGAGAGCGGACTCAGCGTCGCATTGCCACTCGACGAAGTGCTCTACAGCTCGTTCGAGTTGTGCTAGCGAGTTGAGGGCGCTCTGAAGTTCGCCACCTCGCGATTGCATTCTGTAAAGGAGAACGGAGATTTCAGGGTCCTCTCTCTACGAAACGCACAAACAGTCCTTTCGGGGATTGTTCGAAACTTCTGAGGTATCGACGTTCCTCCTGGAATGCTTTTCCCTCCGTGTACGTCGACGGTTCCCGTGAGCTCATTGAGTCATGAATGAGGCTGCGGAATTTTCACGATCCGCGTTTTCTTCGCGAATTTACCCGTTGGTTCCACGAAAATCGCCGCGGAAGATTTACAGCCGAGCCATGAATGGCTCTTTCAGCGGGAGAACGAGGACCAGTCAGGAAGGGGCTCGATTTCTTGACCGCTTCTATTTTATAACAGGCGCGGCTTCTGCGGATTCACTCCAGGAGGCCTCGAGCGTGCAACGTTCAGCGAAAGGCGTGAGAGGAAAATTCATTCGAATGTCGTCTCCTCCCCCGATTCGATCCAACCGTTTCGCTCTCATCGGTATCTATTGACCTTCTCTCCGAAGAGCTCATTAGATCGACTATCTGGGTCTCAAGGCAGGCGATTGCTTTCAGTCTTTTTTCGTTTTTCCCCCACGACAGGAGCTTGCTCCCCGCAGTCGCTCTAGCACGGATTCGAACGCTGGAGTTTTATTCTGCAAATGAACAAAGCCGCCGGATGATGTCGGAGGGGAAGCCGAAGGATTACCGCCCCAGCTTATCGAGATTAGCCCGCTATCATCCATCTGCCGCCGTTGCCGCCGATGCGAGGCCCGCGGCTACCATTTGCAAGGCCACAGCCCCTTGGCAGTAACGGAGCTCTTCTTCGTCGCTGAAAATTCTCTCGCGCGACGGCGAGATCCTGGCATTCCCCCGAGCAGCTCCGAAACGAATGAGAAAATTAGGTCACATGGAGCGTGCCGTGTTTGCTTACCCCGCACTGAGAGCTTGGAAGCGCTGGTTGATTCTGTCGACAACGACGTGGATGTCTTCGGGCGTCATATGATGTCCATGGGGATTGTGGGGGAGGCTTCCTGTGTGCGGTCCCTGGTTAATCTGAGCTGCCTCGAGTTCCGATGCCAATCTCTGACCCATGCGACACACCGAGTCCAACGCTCCTTTCCATTGGCCCATCTCTGCGTGCATTACCTGGAAAAGCAACGCGCATCGTGAGAGGGGTCTGATATTTGTCCTACGTAGATATCTTTCGCTCCCAAAGCACGTTTACAATGTCCGACCGACAGGCAGGCGCATCTACAGAGACAGCCTCTCTCGTGTTGATAATTCAAAAGTGCTAAGAGGGTTCCGCTCCAGAGCGCTGCTGCACAGGGTCCCTTGCTCCTCGGGGACCTCTTCCGAAGAGAGCAGACTCCGAGCCATCGGACGGAAACTGTTTCTCGTTTCAGAAAAATTTGGTTCGCGAGTCGGGCGACGATTCTTCGATATATACATATGTGACTTCAGACTCGACCGAAAACTCGGAGCGAGGGACGAACAGGGAGAGTCGAATAAACACGACACGGCATCCGTCCACTGAACACGTCGATCATGCGCGCGTGCGGCTGAGTAGTCACGGGTGCGGAGAGAATGTGGACACTATCCGCTAGAAAACTGAGAGGTAGTGCATCTCTGCGAGGTAGCGGTACGAGCCCGAATAGAGTTGAGCTAGCCCGCTTAGCTCCCGTTCGTTCTTTGTGGACTGGGCGAGCGCATCGCGAATCGAGCTCTACATTCGGATCAGCGGCCACATATCACGCCGCGTTTCTCCAGCCACGACTGGCTCTTCTCGGAGCCCCCCCCCCCTGAATACGCGCCTGATGTAGCATATTTGCGAAAGTTAGTGCCTTATAGACGTCGGCTGCGCAGGGGCATTGGGGGCCAATGCCCCCCCCCACAAAAAATATTCGTTTCTTACTGCCTCTGTCGCCTTCTGGAACCGTTTCCCGAATTTTCGGGGCCGCAGTCATCGTGTGCCCCCCCGCCAAAAAAAAATCCTGGATACGCGCCTGTGCTACATACATACATTCCGACCTTCGACTATGTCTTGTGAGTCTCGCTGGAGACCTCGGAACCCATAGATCGCGAGAAATGAGGGCCTAAGGAATATGTACGGGGTCGGTACGTAAACGACATAGTAGTTATCCGAAAGAAAAAGTGCACTATTTCACTTCTGGCTAAAAACTTCAGAAATCTCCCCGAGCAGATATCCTGTTTGAGATACGTATCGCCTCGAGCGATTCGCTGTCGAGACGGGGACTCTGCCCGATCAGAACTCCCGAAGTCATCCATCGATTCCCCCTCTTCCAACAAGAGTAACATCGCCGAGATCAAATTGAAAAAGTCGATGGAGTCTGATCGGGAGAGCAATGACGACGCCGACGGTTACTTTCAGGTGCTCGAAAAAAAGGAGGAACTTACCCGATGATCTCTCAGCTGAGTTTCGAGAACATCGAGTGTCTTCCCGACGAGTGGCTGTCGCTCCATCCGGCTCTCCATCCGAGCGAGCCATTGCTCGAGTTCTCGTCGGCGTTCTTCAAAACCTCGCCCGCCGTCGGCCACGAGCGTATCGAGCTGCCGACGTCGCTGCATGGCCTCGTACTCCAGCTCGTCCAAATTCGATTGCAGGTCGGCAGCTGGAAGCAGAAACGATCGTTAATTATGATAGCGGGGGAAATATTTTTGTGACCAGCTGAAAAACGAAACGTTCACGAAACATTCAGGGTCGGGGTCGAGGGAATTCGAAATCCGAGATTATCGAGTCATGGGCTCGCTGCGATGATATTTCGGTCCCCATCCGATAGTTCGACCATTGAATTCGCTCGATTGTTTGGAACGAGTATGCGGATCGCAATTCTACCCCGTGAAAGAGACTTGGAGCGAAACCACTGAGTACGTCAGAAAAGCAGCGCCATGGGTGCGAAATGCGGTCCGGCGACGGGAGAGGATCTGTATCCGGCTGATACTCGGTCGAGCCGTCGCTTCCGAACGAGCTCGACCGAATTCGGACGAACGAGAGCTAACCATAGCACACTATGAGCGAGCTCTCGTTGGTCTGTCAACTACTCGCCGAGAAGCTTCGGTGATTAGCCGGCGGAGTCTGTCACTCCATTTGCGGCTCTCCGCTTCTGGCTACTTGGTCCCTTTGAGTTCTCCGTTCCGGCACTGAGTGAAGAGTACACACTGCCGGTCCAGTCATGCGAATTTTGATTCCGGATCCAAATTCTGGCCATCTTCTGCGGAGGGACTCGCCCGCACAACGGCTACGACGGCAGACGCGGTATGAGTGCTTAGGGCCGCTGGAAGTAGGGACAGCTGTACGGTGTCGAACCCGATCCGAGATGAGGCTCGAAAGCCCGCGGTCAGCTTCAGAGGAGTCCGGTGAACTCTTGCTGCTTCCCCCGGACGAGCCGTCGGTTTACTCGCTCGAGGGGGCTGTTAGAAATATCAACGAGAGTCGCTCGCCATCGCAAAGCATTTGCCGCTTCCATTACGTGGCCAGAAGATCCGACAGAGCGCCAGGAGTAGCCCATTAGTGCGTCGTGTCCTCTTCCCTGTTGTGCCCTCAACGCCAAGTCTGCTCCCGCCTCGGGCTCATTCCCGTTCCGTGCGACTGCCCGCTCTGTTCCGTTTGCGTTGTCGACTTCTCCCAAAATTCGCCCCACAGCCTCAAGAGACCCCTGCAGCCTTGACCTCGGCCTGATCATGCCAGGCCTTGCTCAACCTTGGTTAACCTCAATCCGCGTTTCAAAATTGACGTGGAATAATTTAGCCCGGAGGCAATTTCGCGCGCGAACACTATGGCTCCCGCTCACGACGTAGCTCCTCGTAAGGAGGAACCTCACCGCTTTTGTCCTTGATATGAAGCAGAAAGCTTTTGAATGCTGCATACGAAGGAAGCGTAAACAGCGGCAACCGAATACTTTGATAGAGTTCAGGCAGACGTCCCATTTTTTCCGAGGAGTGAAACTTTGCGGAGCTTCTGGGTCCATTCTTCATCGAGAGGTGGCTTTCACTGATTGCGAGCGGATGGGTGAGCATGCGAGCGAGCGGAAAAAATCTCGCGGTCGGCTTTTCATCCGGGCTTATCGAGGGCGATATTCCCTCGGAACAGTTTTGCATAAGCTCAACAAAGGAATCGAACCGAGCAATAAGCTACTCGACCCGCGTACGCGGTCGTTAGTTTCGAAATGCGATCACGATACGCAAAACATCGGACGCGAACAATATTTCGATTTTCGGGACGGGGCAGAGGCTTGTCGCCTCATCCCTCGAGCCGTAGGGATGGAAATGCTTCTTTGATTGGCGGTCTACTTTTCGAAGGGGGAAACTCCCAAGGAAACACCGGCAGGGTGATCGATAATAATTCAAAACTAGAGAGGAAAATCAAGGACTCTCCGAGCTCCGTTCCGATGAACTTGACATGAGGGTACGCCGTCTGGATTTGAGAATGTTCCTACTTCTGAGCGTCGCCGTCTGGCAGACTGCGCTCCCCGTCCCCGAAAGTTCCCTCTCTCCTACTCCAAACGCGAGCATCGAAACCAACCGGAAGCGGAACTGTTCGGAAACGGGACGTATTGCCACTTGATTTCGAGTACAGAGAGTTTCCAGATGCGTAGAGGACTTTTCCTCAACGTTCAGAACTTTTCCTCAACGTTGAGAACCACCAACTCTCCCAGAAACCCACATCGGATGCTTGTGTTGATATATTATCACAGCTTCGGCGTCGTCGTTCTACTCTCGAGCTCGCAGCTCGGACGCCAATAACATGCCGGCGCCCGCCAGCGTCGTACATATGGGCAAAGCGCGCAGGAGGAAGTCGACAGAGAGTTGGAGATGCCTCCACATCTGTTTCAAGCCCACGAGGTTCTTTCCTCTGGATCTCAAGGTTCGAATCTTGAACGAGGTATATCCCTCCTCCCCAACTCGTGGAAAACCCTGTCCTCCCCTCTTGGGAGCTGGCGCAATCCTCGAAACTGGCATCCAAGGTGTTTCCAGAGAACTCGGAGATACTGGGGAGCGGGTACAAAAACATAGCTGTGGTTGGTTCTCGTGAGTTCTCGACTCGCACCAATATCAATTCCCACTTGTCAGGGATAGGTTTTTCCGATTCTCTGCATGAGCCAATGGGGAGGCAGCTCGAGAGCCGTGTGCGCTGGAATGGAGAGAAAAACGAGGCTGGAAATACAAACCTTTCTTGCGAAGCCCGAGAAGGGCCTCTCTGTGCTCCTTGGAGGTTTCCTCGCCTTCGAGGCCACCGTCAGTCTCTTCACTCAGATACTCGAGAGCTGTGTTAAGATGGCGCAGGGTCTCGCTCCGGGCCTCATGCTCAGACAATAACGTCTGAAAAGCCATAGAATTTCTTATAGTTCATCGGGATAATGTTCCGCGGACTTGACTCTCGGATCTCGCGAGATGCGTGAGCGACAATGTCGCGTCTGATACATGCTTTTTTCATATGCAATTTTACTGATTCCATCGACTATAATTGTTGCTCATATGAAAACCCTGGAACCCTGGCTTGGCCGTCCCATCCCTGAACAATGGACGAACTTGAGGAAAATCATGGACCTCTCAGGGAAATTCACAGCTCAGTCAGTGTGAATAAAAGGTGCAGATCATTGCTCTCGCGGAGGAGACCAGCTCACCGACTCGAATGTTGTTTTCCGCCATATATGTATGTATGAGTCCCGTCCTCTTATCGTCGGAGCCTATCCGAAGAGGATGATTGCTTCAGCCCGTACAGGATCTGGCTCCCCAAACAGTCAAGCCTCATTCCTCCGTCAATGAGTCAAGACGGGATACATCATCAGTTGCCATAGCTGCAGCAGTTGTGACTTCGAGATCGCGGGAAGGACACCGTTTACGATCTGACGAGAATTTTCCTAATAAGTTTGTCTGGGCCCTCGCTACTCCGCTGTTCTTGTTCGGCCCAGCACTAGGCTGTTTTGCCTTTTCAGAAGTCGAACCACGTCTCGGTCCCCCGTTTCGGATGTCTGCCGGCTGCTCTGGGCTCGCCCCTCCGTGGCACTCTCCCACGGAACGTTTTCTGCCCGCCGCAAGCGAGCCGCGTGCTCGCTTGTGAGGGGCATGCCTCCAACAAAAAAATAGAGGAAGAAGACGTTCCACGGAGAGCATTTCCTATTCGGCATGTCCTCCAGCCCCATGCCGCATTCGGGATACAGCTCTGTTTTTTTGCCCGATCGCTGGCATCATCAGAACTTTTTCCTGGTATTCCCGTGCGACGTCACGTTGAGCAAATTCAGAATTCGCGCAAGCAGTATCTGATCTGGGTACCGAGTTCGCGGGACGCGAACAGGTCGAGCTGCTGTGACCGATTTCTATCTCCAATTAGGCTGTTCCATTTGGTATCGGATCAAGATAAAATTGCCCAAAGAGAATCACTCAGCGGACATCCTCGTCAACGCAGACGACGTTCCGATGTCCGGAATTCAGAGATCGCGCAACAGCTTCCGAGGGATCTTTGCTCTCTTGATAGCGGAATTTCGATCTAGACCCAGACCATCAAAATCACTCATTCGGATATCGTCGATAGCGTCGAAGAGCAAAAGAGTGGGGGGGGGACTCGTGCCGAGAGACGTGGGATCTCGTGGTGAAAAATTCATGCTCCTCTGCCGAGCGACCGTTGTGAGACACCCGTCCCAGGTCGAGAAGATCCCGGAGCGTGAGAGCCCACGACCTCCTCCAGGGACCTTCTCAGAGGTCCCATGTACGTCCTGGAACTAAGTCCTGGAGCTCAGGAAAAAATCCGGAGGCCTCCGCTTTACCAGAGGGGGAACGAGGCATCCCGTCGACACGAATGAAAGCGATGCTCCCTCTCGCTAGCAATAGGAAAATCAATGGAGTCTCCGGCGACACCGTCCCGTGAGCGAAGTCCATATGCTGTTACGATCCCGGCCAACGCATGCGGAACGGGTCCGCGCGGACTCCGACCCAGATTCGAGAACCGCTGTGTGGGTGCGAATAGAGGCTGAGAATGAGTAATGGATCATCATGATAATGTGTTAGCACGCTCGGTAATCTAAGCACACATCAGAGAGAAACGGAATGAGCCACTCCGTCCGTCCAACTGAGCGAGTGTTGACCTCGAAAGCCCCCACAAAACATCAATCTCGAAGGCTTCGATCGAGCGAACTCATTCGGAACCGACGAGTTGCCGAGAGCCAGTTCCAGTGACAGTTTTATTGAAATTCGCAAACATTCAAAACCACTCCAACGCCACTATGGCGACTGCTACAGTTGTGAGAATGGGGGCCGCTCGGTCTACGCTGGTCACCCAATAGCAGGCCTCGGCGACCACTGAACCGCGCGGATATCACGTTTGCTGTTGATTCGGCCTATTGCTCCGCAGTTGGAATTCGCTAGAGGCAGAACGGTGATTATATCAGCCGAGCCTTCAACCAGCGAAGGAACCCATCGATCTTCGCTAAAATCGGAACGATTCGACTCATTGTCGGTGCGATCCATTCACTGAGTTTGGATGCTCCTCGAACTTCAATACTCCTGTATCGCTGAACTCTCCACCGTTGTCGCTCACCGAGCGGGCGGACCAGAGGACTTTCGGGGGATTCTGTTGCCCTCTCTTCGATGAGCCTCTCGTCGGGCTCACTTCAGCGCCGAGTAAGAGCCTCGGTGGTGGAGGAGGTTTCACTTCCAACCGAATCCAGTCGACGAGCTTGGAGTGAAGTCACTCGATCACGGAGTCGTTAAACTCTTTCTCTGGTAGCTAATTGCGCTGCCTGCAACACCTCCGAAACCTCTGCTCTTGACTTTGATCATTTATCATTTATTTGGAATGGAGCGTTTCCGGACTTCCTTTCGAGGGATATTACGTCATGGAAGAAACAACTCTGCTTGGAGATCGCCGGCCCCGCATCGGATCCTGAGGTCGAACGAATCACCACCCCGAATAAGCGAGCGAATACATTAGGATCGACGTCTACTTTAGGCGCCTTTCCCCATCGAGACAATTTGTCGAGGCTCTTAGGCACAATGGATTGTTTTTCGAGCGGTCACGGTTCGCGGCCTTCCTCAGAGTGAGGCCGATATGCGTCAGCTGAACAACATCAGCGAGCAAGCTCACCCATCTGCGACAACGTTTGCCCAATAAATCGAATTAGGTAGCACGGCGAAAAGCGACGTGGGGGACGATCCTCGTGAGATCTCTCCAGACACTCGCACGACGTCCAGATCTTCGAAGTCGTTGTGCATTTTAGCTCCAATAGCTGGTATTGATAGAGGATTATGCGTCATGAGGAGTCTTTAAGGATAAGTCGTCCACGGAATGAAAATCGCAGCGTCAGCGGTTTTGAAAGTTTCCCGCAATTTTTTCGCAATGAAAAGTCCCCTCCTCGGCTTCCCAAGCAGAATCATCCAGGGGAGACAATGGATAATACCGCACGCAAAATCACGATCTGAACCTCGAACTCATCGAGATAGAGCGTTCGCGTATCCGGGCATCTTACTCATTCCTCGACTTTTGTCTTCCTGATACGGGGCCACCCAACGAGAGTCACGCCTAGCGACACTCTGAACAGGGAATTTTCCTTTTGCTCTTCTACTTGCTCAGCTGACCGTAGAGCTCTCCATTGAAGCCACTGACAACGACTAGAAAAACGAGCCGCGGCATCTTTGTGGCCAACTCCAACAATGAATTTCAAGGAAGTCGCTCGCGTGATATAACCTTTCCGAACGAGACGGCTCAGATGATTGTGCGAACTGGAGGCCGACTCAAGTCAAATTGAAAGATGGCATTCTCGAACATGGTCAGGAGAAGGTCTCTGGCTCAAAAGGAAAAGCGCCTCTCTTGATCTCATGCGCAGCTTCCCTCGAGTTCGCGGGTCACTCGGCTCTTCTCGTCGGAATCGAATAATAGAAATCCGGACGCTGGAATTTTGATCCTTGTATACCCTAGCTACCATAGTAGCTACGTACACGTATACGATCACCGGGGGTCTCGTCAGTCGGCCAAGGATGTCATGGCTCCCGCGGCGCAGCGGTGGACGGAGTACACTCGACTGAAGACTCTTCGACCTCGGAAGAATCCCCGGCCTATCGATCTTTCTTCTAGATCGAAGTCGGGCCGATACGACGTCCCATCGTTCTGGCAATGCATTACCGATTCTGGCGCGGAGACTCCCTTGATAATTAGCAATTAAAGAAAATTAAGCAGTAATTCCTAATTAAGGATTATTATTCTCGTGACGACATAGGTCAATTGAAACCTATAATATTTTGGTTGGATGTATGCGCCTCATGCGCGATGGACGAAAGCATTTTGCATTCTCCCATCGAAACATCCAGATCGGGTCACCTGTTTTTTGCCCGGAACGCGAGGAGGTGCCGCAACCCTTGACCTAGCTTCGGACCCCACTCGGCAGATTTCGGTATCGCTCAATGCGCAAGCAGTCGGGTTCCAGATGATTGAAAGCCTCAATTCCTGGTGCGGGAGAGACATGGAGGACGCCAGCTGCTATCCCCACCTTTCGGAGAGAGTTCACACTCGGAGTTCGAACTTCACATGCGTGTTTCTATTCCTCCGTTGGCTCCGCTGACTGCGGTTGCAGTGTGAGTGCGTGCGCGGACATCTGCTACAAACACGCATCGACCAACGATGCTTGGAACCGAGCTTTCGTCGTGTTCACCACTTTTTTCCATATGCCTCCTACGAATCATAATCGACGCATTCGATTCGGTTGAGCTTTCTCAGCTAGGCCGAAACTGAGCTGTTGCCGCGGTGGCTTCGCTCCAGCGTGTTCTCGCTCAGGATCGGCATGACGTGACGGCACGCAACAGTATCAGACAACCGCCTCTGATCGATCTCGTTTCATTAAAGAGAATTCTTTCCGGACGTCTGTCCGTCCGTCCAATATGACGGTGACGCCGAGGACGACGATGATGATGAGGAAGACGACTCGACGTCGCAAATGACGAGGATGGACACGTTGACGGGAGGAGCTTTGAGGCCGCCAGGACGACGAGGGCGGCGGCATCGACGAAAACAAGTGCGACCTGAGCCGAGGCCAAGAAGCAAAGGTTCGAAATATTTTGTTTTTCAAGAACACAAAGCCTCGCTTTCGAACAGCTTTCAATAGACATCCGTCCACGACGACGACGACGACGACTCGCACCTCCCTCGAAACAACAAGGGACAGACGACAACGTGGGATTACGCCGACGGCGCCGCCGGTTGAAAAAGAGGAAGCGGCAGCAGCGGCAAGCGAAAAAGATCGGCCGGGAAAAATCGAAAGAAGGAGAAGCTGGCAGCTAAGCTCCTCGTCACATTTTTTTCCCCTCAGAGCAACGGACTCCGTAATCGACTT